AGAGGATGCTCAAAAGCAGGTCCAGTGGCTGCAAAGGTTCTGGGCACAGCAACATCATTTGCCTTTCTGCACAAGGAGGGGCCGTATAACAGTGCCTTCTCGAGCCCCTTGCTCCCCAAGAGTTCGACCCTAAAGACGATGTGATATTTGACAGCAGAGGACAAGCTGTGCTGCGTTGAAACTATTAAAGTGGCCGCCTCTGCAGCCCAAGTATGTGCTGCCTACCAGGGTCGCCCTCGTCAAACTTGAAGCCTGACAACTGTCGAGCCTGTTACGAGCTTTGTCTTTCGACTCGTCACATGTGAAATATACTTGTGTGCATCTGCTTCCAATTTTGCGTCATATTTTTAACTTGCCCAATCTAGCAGACACGGCAAGTCTCTCTTGACTGCAGAGCGATCTACCTGGCAGACAGTACAAGCGGCATTCAATTTTCTTGGGTTCTTTTATCGGCTACCTATTATAGATGAAGGAGCAGTTTGATACGAGGACACTTTTCTTGATGTGAAGCAATTGCATATGCATTAAAAGGATTTACACCAAGCCCATGGCAGGCAAGTCTGGTATTTCAGAAAAGACAGACATGACCAAGAATATTTCTTTTTATTGCTCTGGTACCTGAGCTGAAGAAGCACCACACCAAGTATGTGGTGTCAGAGGTTATGGTATGGCACCTAAAATTAGAATTTTATATGTTTGTGATCAGTTGCTGTTTTTGAAAAAGCTTTTTAACACAATGATTATGGCAAAGGTAACCTGGAAATAATGCAAACCGCATAAGCTAGACTCCGAAGCATTACTACTGAGAACAAAACCAGGCCCCCCTCACAGGTGGCACCTCGTTTCTCATCGACTGTGTAAGCATTCCGGCTCGAACAGTGTATTGTCCTAAGCATAGAGAAAAAAAGATGAAGAATTAACTGTGGTAGCTGGCATGTGGATGATTGGAGCTCCACCACCGTACCACCGTTAATTCGAAAATTTCTAGTTCCTTGTATACAAAATTCACATTGACATCAGAAGTTGCGGTACAAGTGTGGTACATGAACATTTGCACCAAGATTTGCTGACCCAAAAATTGTATTCTATGTATGACAATTTTGTCGGATATGACCAAGGTACTTCTGCAAATTTTGTTTCTATGCTATACATTTACATTTATATTTCACGTTTTTGTTTGTTCAAATTATGTATGCGTTTGCGTGCATCTTTTTTATGCAAAACTGCACGTAGGTGTCAACGGTGCACCCTTATGTAGGCTTATGGGCTGCTTAGGTGCACCGGAAAAGTACAATAAATAAATAAATACTGAAATCATGACACAAGCTAAATAGTGCACAGGGAGCATTTTATTGCAGATAAAAATTCTGCATTACCATAAGGTGCAGCACGAGTGTGGTCAGTGAAGATGACTGCTGGGCATGTGCAGCTGCTTGTCTCTTAACAGCCTGCAGACAAATTACAAAAAAGAGGCTAATGCTTACAAATACATACATTTTTAAACAGCATGTTAGAGAAAGTGCATAGAACAATATAATATCAGTGGTGTGGTGAACAGTAGTGTATGGCACATGCCTGTTTTTACCTTCTCTCATAACTTTCATGCAGTACTGGAAAAGCAAGAATGCGAGACTTTGGAGAGACGTTTAGCTTATGCGAGCACCTTCCTAACCAAGTAATTGCTCAGACCAACGCACTTATGCTGTGGGGTTTCCAGTACAGCACGTAACCTATGAGACCGGCAGTCCTCAGCAATGTGCATTTAGCTTGATCTAATTACTTTGCAGTAAACCGGCCTGCTCCGTCGATCACATGAAAAAAGGAAAAGGGACAAGCTGGTGGAAATCGGTCACTTCTAAACCCAACAGGTCAGAAAAGGAAAAGGAGAGAAAACACAAGACTGCTGCATTCGTCTTCCTTTCTGCTACAGCTGTGTGTCATAGCTGATTTCCAATGACAAGCTAACTGCTGTTCCCATCAATGCACCCGGTGCTGTGTAAGTCCAGCTCTTCAGCAATGCGTTGAGCGAGCAACAAGGGATGTGAGCTCGAGCTGCTCTGGATGTAACTGAATAAAGCAAGGATGAAGAAAATCCACGGTTCTCTACACAATGCTTGCCAGCCAATTTTGGACGTTGACTGCACTTCTCTAAAACTAAGGAATTTATGCTTCACTCCAGCAGTATGTGGAATGCAACCAGCTGCTCTTGCTGAGTAGACGATAGGTACTAAACAGTGCAGTTGGGGGCAGTTCAGGCCCTCGCCATACAGGTAGTGGTTGACCTGATGACTGGGGCACGGCTAACAACATTACACAGTTTCAGTAGCACGCACACGTGGTTTGTGGGTGATGTCATGTCAGTAGGTGCCGTGGTGGTGGCCACTACTCGGTACATGTCGGATGCGGTTAATGGCAGAGGCTGCTCATATTTCCACGCGCGTCTGTGAGCAAGTGTGCCTGTAGCCAAATAGTTATCATGCTTAGCTCCCACGCAAAGGGACGAGGTATGACGTCTGGCCGCGCAAGCACCTTCTTGTTGTTTCTGTAAATGTCGCGTTCTGGTAAATTCAAGAACCCGGTTGCTTGTTCGATCTATATCTCCCTCAGAAATCTCGGCGCGTGTCTAGGCGCCGAGATTTCTGAGGGAGATATAGATGTAGTGCATAGAGTCCAGTCAAAGGACAAAGGGAAGCCGAATGTGGTGGTAAAGTTTTCCTCGCGCACAGTACGTGACAAGTTTTTGTGTGCGGCCAGGAAAACGAAACTCAACACAAGTCTTCTATGCTTCTCGGCAAACGACCCACTGTACGTAAATGAACACCTTTGTGTTGAGAATAAGATTTTGCTAAGTAAGGCTCGCCAGGAGAGGCGAGACAAGAACTGGAAATTTGTTTGGGTGAGACAGGGCAAGATTTTCATGCGGAAGTGTGAAAACTCTCCTGTGCTGCATGTTACGTGTGAAGGGGACCTTGCGAGAGTTGTGTAGTTGTCATAATGCTAGCGCCTTGATCTGTGTTCTTAGGATCATTATGCCTTACACTTTCCAACAGGTTGACAATTTAATGCTAAACCGTGATTCTTTTTCTTTGTTTCATAGCAATGTACGCAGTCTAAGAAAAAATCTAAATCAACTACTTGCATGTATTTCACGGTACCAACAAGCATATGATATAATTGCTGTAAGTGAAACATGGCTTCAAAATACTGAAACGGCTCTTATACCCGGGTATATATTTTCCTCCCTTCCACGGGTCGCACGTACAAGGGGAGGTGGCGTTGCATTCTTTGTGAAAGAGGACATTGTCTTTGAAGTTGTACATACTGCCTCTATCAGTGATGAACATATTGAAGCACTTTTTATTAAACATCCTTGTAGTCTAATAATTGGAGTAGTGTACCGTCCTCCAAGCACCGCACTGACACCTTTCTTAGACAAATTCGGATCGGATCTTGTACAAATAACTCATAAGCATACCGGCCACATTGTAATCCTTGGAGATCTTAATATTGACCTGGCATGGGATACGCACAATGATTATACTCTACTTCTCGAACCCTTTAGCTTACACAATATTATACGTGAACCCACTCGTATTACCAGTACTTCGAGTACGTTGATTGATCACGCGCTTTGTAACCTCGATAGCGGTGTGTGTGCCGGAGTTTACTCTGATCCAATAGCGGACCATCTGCCTATTTTTGTTGTTTTGCAAAACCAGTCGTCCGTAAATGCGAATCTTTGTCCTAAAATACGCACCAAGGTAAACTATGTCCTACTTCGAAGTATATTAGAAAAAAATGTTTATGCTTTGTATAATCATGACACCAACAATGAATATCAAAACTTTGTTCATACTCTTAAAAACGCAGCAATTCAGAGCGCTGAAAGTAGGACAAACAGCAGATATGGAGAGCCGGTCTGCCCTTAAATGAAGAGTCACATTTTAGGCGTACTGAAAAAGAAAGACAGCTGGTATCGTAAATGGAAACAAAACAAAAGCAACAAATATTATCTAGGACAATTTAAGCGATTAAGAAACGCATCTGTTTCTCTTATGCGGAAAAGGAAACGACAATATTACTCCTCTCTTATCGAACAAGCCGACGGGAATGCACAAACGATTTGGGATATAGGTAATCACGCAATCGGCCTTCGCTCAGATCGACGTGTGCAACCCGAACTAGCCAACCAGGAAATGGTAGACAATTTTAATGACTACTTTACGAACATAGGTCCTCTCCTACCAGCACAGTTGCCACATGTGATAGTTTCCACGAGGTTAACGGCTTCGGTTGTTAATACCTTTGTCATACAGGAAATTGAGATGGCTGAAATTACGTCTACAGTTAGAAGTCTTCGAGTAAACAAATCGACCGGGCTCGATGCCGTTCCAGTAAAATTAATAAGAGATAATATAGACATTTTAGGCGTTCATTTTCTACACTTGTTTAATCATTCATTGGAAAGCGCAATATATCCCGATGAGCTCAAAATAGCAGGGATTGTGCCCATTTTTAAAGAGGGAGATACTTCCGAGCCGTCTAGTTATTGACCAATATCAGTATTAAGTGTAATTAATACAATTTTTGAAAAAATAATTTGTAAACACATTCAGGAATTTATAAGTACAATATTCTCTGCCCTAGTCAGCACGGATTTAGGCCGAACAGATCTACCTCTTCCGCTGTACTCGTGTTAACTCAGCTTCTTAATAAGGCTCTTCATGAAAATAAAATTGCTGTGGTTGTTTATTTGGATATAAGTAAGGCTTTCCATACAGTTAATCACAAAATACTATTGAACAAGCTTCATGAGTACGGTTTTAGGGGAAAGATATTAGAGTTATTTCAAAGTTATCTTTCTAAACGAACACAATGTGTAACGATTAATAATTTTATCTGTACACCACAAACAGTGCTTACAGGGGTACTACAAGGCTCTGTTTTTGGGCCCATTCTTTTTTCTCTCTACGTCAATGATTTTTCTTCTGTTTTATGTCAGTCTGAAGCACTCATGTATGCAGACGATACGGCATTAGTTTTTGTCGGGGACACAATAAGTGAACTACAAGGTAAAATAAATGAAGAATTAACAAGGGTCTTAACGTGGTTCACTAGTAACCAACTCACACTTAACATTAAAAAAACTAAGTACACTGTGTTTCACTCTAGGAGAAGGCAAACAAATTCTGAAGAACTAGCTATATACTTAGATAACGTGCAGTTGCTGCATGTTTCCTGTTACAAATATTTCGGTGTCTTGTTTGAAACCGATATGCATTGGAAGAATCAAATTAAAAACATCAGCACAAAACTTGCACACGGATGCTCAAAAAGTCAAATTGGACGTTTGAGTGATTTATACAGCTTAAGGTTGGTCTGCCAGTAGGGGCGACACTGGTTTACACTGTAGATGAGCAATTTAGCCAGTGCAGTACAACCGCTAGCCTGGGGTCTTTAACGTGCACCACGCAGTAGTGATACACGACCGCACGCCGGTACGATGCTCATCCAGATCGAAACGGGCAGGGGTGGGGCTCGAACCCAGGATCCCTGGGTTCGGCAGCGCGAGCTTTCGCTCCACGCGCGTCGAGCTGGGTGTGCGCTTCAGCCCACTCGGCCACCGATCCCCCCTCACACGGATGCTACAGACTACTAAAGGCTCGGGAGTTTTTTAATTCGTCTATACTGCGCATTCTATACTTTGCATTTGTACATAGTCACTTGAATTACTGTATAGAGTCTTGGGGCGGAACATACACCACGTATTTAGAGCCACTCAGTCGATTGCAGAAAAGGGCTATGAGACTCATTACTTATTCTAGATATACCGAACCAAGTGGTCCTCTATTTCGATCAGTTGGTGTGTTGCCACTAGACCTCTATACAACTTCAAAATAGCTGAAACAGTCTTTAAAATAATAAAAACTAACGACCCACTCCCATTACTGATATTTAAATTACCATTACGGAATACGAGAGCTGCAACTAATAATCTGTTTAATTTGCCATCTTGTCGAAGTGTTTATGAAGAAAGGCTTATTGAATTCAACGGCGCCCTGGTATGGAATGATATCCCTACCGACATCAAATGTAAACCCAATATATTGCCATCCTTAAAGAAGTATTTAATTAAATTGCGAGCCAATGAATAAGTTCAATATCGTGCCCTATATATTTTTTTCAATTATTATGTATGTTGTTTTGTGAATACTTTGATGTGTGCGTACATTTGTTTTGTTTGCCTGCCGCATTGTAAAGGTTATTTCTAATGTTGGACCCGCGACTAGCCTCCACGGCTATGGGTCCAAGCAACGATTGTGTATTTAAAAAAAGAATAATAAAAGAAAGAAAGAAAGTCCGAATGTTATATGCGCCGAACCTTCATCGCCGATTGTTGCAGACACCCACATATATGAGGGCGAGGTAATACAGAGTCTCGCTTTTGCGCTCGATCGTGCTACTCCGCTTTGATGCCTGCGAAGCTACCTCTTTGTATTTTTGTTTTGGCACAAGTTCAACAAATTAAATTTTTAGATTTTGTTCATTCGTCACCTCATCATCTGTCATTCGTGACATTTTGGTAGACGTGCGGGGCATTAACAAAAAGGTACATACGCGGCCAGGCATCGAACCTTGGACCTTTGCAAGGAAGGCAAACATGATAATCACTCCGCCACAAGCGCGCCTGCTCGTAGACGTGCGTAGCAATATGTGCTAGCACAGGAACTTGGGCTAGGCCTAGGCAGAAGTTTAAACCGTCACGTGATCACAACAAAGTTTGCCCGTGTTTGTCCAGTTCAGTACGCAGAAAACATAGCTCTGTTTGGTGACAAGACCCACCTGCTACTTACACTTAACAGGACTAAGACAGATTGTGATTTCTGGCCAAAGATGGAGGACTTGAATACCCGAGTGCAAATGTTTAAGAAAAATATGCAAAAGTGCATGACGATAATTTTGCCGATTTTTATAAGCAAAATTATCGCCCAGCTAGGTGCGTCCTGCTCCAACAGCCCTTTGCCTCAAATATTTTTAGAAGTGGACGTTTTCTATAAATACCAGACGTCAATTTTGGAATTGGTGAGCCAGTTTGGTCTTAGTGTCATTCCCTTGTCACTTTAGAGTGGTGGGTAGCTGTGGTGTTCCAGAGAATGTTTGGTGGAAGCAGGCCACTGTTGAAAAAGGGATAACCGGAGCCACAGCTTTTTTGCGAACAGACACTTAGTCTCATTCATTTTTCTGCTGTCTTGTTCGACACAAAACTCAAGTAACCATTTGTGGATTGTCTCTGCACCATGTGTACACCTATGTTTTTGTGAGTCTTGCTGAGGTGTCACGTTGCTAGAAACACGGTTGGACCTACAGCCACCTTGGGAGCTACCGACCAGGCACATTGATGTTTATGACAGCTTCTTTCACCTTCCTCATATACATGCGCAGCGCAGATAGTGGTCACAGTTTTATGCATTTGCTGAGATGGACACAAAAACTGTCACTTTGGGCCCCTGGAGCCAGCACAGTTCACCATGATCACAGTGTAGCAAAGCTGCAACCACCAACCATCAGTGGCCATCAGCATGAGACTACCGACGGCACTCGTGCATAATACATGTTAATGACGCGACATAGGTGCAAACCACGTATCACGCAGATGAATCCAGACTGGTTTTTTTATACCTGCCATTTGGTGGTGATGGAGCTGCCACCTGTGCTGGGTCCTCACTAGCACCTTTGGTCATATCAGATGAGTGCTTCATAATCCATTTAACACACAAGTTTACGTACAACAAATTGACAGCCTTTCTGGTTACCCATTTTCTACACTTTAGAATTCAGGTATCGGAGTGTCTCATGCGCAGGTCTAGAAAAATTAACTCGTGAGCTTGAGCGCTACGATCCGAGCTTTTGAAGAAACATTACGAGACAGCATACTCGTGCAAAGTCAATAATTCCAAAAACAACACGGTGTCTGTTGACTTCTGCCTCAAAATTACAGCGCGAGCTCCCAGCAGCAATTTCGCTGCGCACGGCAACGCTACGCTAAAACCGCCTATAGCGATTCCCAGCACTTACCAAAACTGCAGCCAAGATGCCGTGTGCCGACGGACGAGGCGCGTCCGCTCTCGAAATCATGCGCCTTCTTCCGTGTCTTTCCGAGGAATCTTTCTCATTGGGGCCAGGATTCTCTCCTACAACTCGAGTTCAGCTACGATACTTGGTTCACGTTCAACGTTTGAAAAAGCCCGACTGGAGAGCAAAACTTCCAAAAGTGTGGCAAGTCTCCGTACAGACACACGAGCACTTAACGCGCGACATCCACCGTCGGCATTGACGATTCATCACAATCGCGATGCAGCTCACAGATTGCGATCATCTAAATTGTTGCACTTATGTAAAAAGACATGAGCGATGCGACCTAAAGTTGACAGAGGTAATTATATTTAAACTGTACCGAAGTCTACATTCTCAGAAGTTAAAAATGTTGCTTTTACACGACCGTCCGATGCAGCGTTGATCATTTCCCTATAGGGACATTTTTTGGATACAAATCCCGATGAAGTTTAAACTCAATCGCCACTCCCCGTCGACGTCACCAACGAGACGCAATGAAGTTCCCTGCCAGATGGGTTCGCCAGCGATGGAGATTAGGCTCCTCCCACCGGCGACGTCACGATGAAATCTCTCCATCGCTTTTTCCAGCATAGACAGACTGATCTGCGGTGCCACAACACACTCGGCCAACGATCCTTCGCCGCAATTGGCTTAGCCTGTGAGCTTAAACCAAATGAGCTGCACTTATAGTATCAGCACTTTTTCCCCCGATACTCTTGTGGGCGCCGCCAGCTTGGTGGTTAGTAAAAATCAAACGCAACTGCCGATCGTCATGATTCAAAAGTGCGACTTCCACAGCATTAGTTTCGGTGTCAAAAAACTCACGTAATATTGCTTTGCTGTGTCGCGAATTGTTTAAACACTTCTGGAGGACGGAAAAGCATTTCCTGTGATTTCAGATAAAGCTTCAGTTAACTGATTACCAACATTTTAAGCACCAAGATGTGTATGAAGTGCAGCTTATTTAGTGGCTCTAGCTTAGCCCGACCACATAGGCACAGAAAGAGAATGAACAGCTTGACCTTGCGCTCTTGTCGCTGCTTCAGTGGCTTCATCAGCCCGCGGCGTTGGCTCCGCTCCGAACTAAGGTAAAGCAAAGCAAATATTCAGATCTTAGGATTTCACAAGCCAAACTAACAAAAATCACTTAACACGCCCCAATAAAAATATTGCAGCTTTATTTTGACTAATTGGAGATCTATTGACGAGCAACCGAAATGTCAATTTGGCCTCCGTAAAATTGCGGATATTTAAACCCGACAAATATGAGTTCATGGGCCAGCGCGTTGGCTCAGAGACACTGAGACTAGTTAATGTTCTTTGTTTTGTTTTAATATTATTTCCACTTAACAGCGACCGAAATGTTTTTTGAAACAAAATATACTCAAACCATTCCGACTAGCATACTTTGATTGCGAAAGGATTTTTGCAACTGATAAAAAACATTAAAATGTTTTCGCATGCGTGGCGGATTCTGAAATGGCAGAATTCATTTTATGGCGCACATTCCATTTGGATCGCGTCGGGCATGTGTACCGACGCACGGTAGAACGCGCGCAAAAGTAGCTGTGGTGCACCCGCAGCCACGCGCTCGTTGTTCTGACATCTCTGACTCGCTCACTGCGGGCATCCAGGCACCTGACACCCTGACATCTGGCACTTTTTCTGTCCTTCACGTGGCGTTCCAAGCGGCACACGACAGGAAATGCGCATCAAGTTTTTCTTCAACACGTGTCGCCATCTGTATTTTATATTAAGAAAACTACAATTTGCCGTAACCAAATGGGAAATGTTCAGGGTCTTATAACATTATTAACGTGTAATATATCAATATGGAGGTGTGGAAAATTAATATTGAAGGATGCTTAATAATTTAATGTCTCATTATTTTGATTAGGTGACGTTATTTCGTTTTTATACCGCCATAAAATACCATTTTAGACTTTATTCTTTTATTTTAAAATATACATTATCTGTACAGTTCGTTGCTTACTTTTTTTAATTTATTACATCCAACCGAACGCTCACGTAAAATATCGTGGACGATGGGACGTTATAACTCAAGAAATATATTTTTCAATAAAAAAGACTATGGTCTTTTTTAGCTGAATAATTAACTAACACAAAATAATCGTAATAACGAGACATTAAAGTATCGATGAAGAACAGAGCTTTAATTAGACATTAACTTTATAATTACAAGATACATAGAAAGAAAGTTATCGGGCGTCAAAAAAGCACCAAAACGTCATGCACGGTGGGGTCGCACCTTAAGGGGCGATGCGACAATTTTCGTACTGTGCGAAAATACCGCTTAGAACGGATCCCTGACGTTAATGACCTATAAAACACGTGTTTGTTTTTCACCCCACGCAATAGGAGCCCCAGAAAAAAATTAAAGAAAAACGAGCAGCGTTCATCCCCTCAACTCGCAGCCAGAACAAGCGGCCACGTGATCTGGAACCGATTATATGCCGCCAATGTTGGTCATAGCCACGCGATGGGGTTGGCAAAGCACAGAACACGCGCTGAGTTCCAGAAATTGTTATGGCTCGGCTACTGTCGTCGATGCAGCGATTGGACATGGGCCACTACCCGAATGCTTGTCGAGCTAGTAAGTATCATGAGCCAAAATAGAGTACTCACACAATGCACGGTTCCAATCTATGAATCGCATTCAAATATTGTCAGTTGGGTGTACTTCAATCCCCACTTTACGTCATCAAAGTTTGCATTGTCCCCGCAGC